CCACCTTTCTTTTCATTAACATACATGATCTTGTATATGTGTGTTTTAGCATGATATAAATGGCATTGATAAAAATATTTCTTTTTTATATCATACTGTGTGTATGAGGCTATATGTATCTCTAACTAGATGCCAGCTTAGTAAATCTCACTTGTTTTAAATATTTCTTTATATGCATTTTCCCTACTTATTCGCACCACAACCAATCCTGCCATGAATATTATTTACATGTGTCTTTTTGGACCTGCACAGAAGTTTCTCTGCAATATAAGTTAAGAGTAGGATTTCCAGGTCACTGACCATTCCTACACTAATTTCTGTAAATACTAACAATATTTTCTTCATAATGGCTGTAACGGTTTGTGACAAGAAATACAATATTGCAATTTCCCTAGATCTTTATCAGTATTTGGAATTATATGAGTTTATAATATTTGCCGTTTTACACATATGAAATAGCATTTCTTTGTTTAATTTGCATTTCTCTGAATACCCATGAGGTTTGAGCTTATTTTCATTGAATATTGCAATCTGGATTTTTTCTTTTGTAAATCGTTCATGTCTTTTGTCCATTTCTTTTTGCAAACCTGGCTTTTTCTGAATGACATTAAATTCAGATATCTACTCCCAATTTGCTGTCCATCTGTTGACCTTGTATATGGTGACTTTCTTTGTACGTGAATCTTTAATTTTGCCCTTATGGTTTGTTACTTTTCCTCCTTAAGGCTTGTTCTTTTAGAATCTTCTATAAGAAGTAGTTCTCTACATCAAGATCATGAAGATAATCTATATAAATTTTTACTTGCTTTTTAATTTACTTTTGCTTTTCATGTTTTTGTTTTAATACATATGAAGTCCATATTTGGAGATTATTTGACGTAAGGATTCAACTTAATTTTTTTCCAGGGAGCGTACCAATGTTCCTATTACCGTTTCCAAAATATTAATCATTTTTCTATTGGCTTGTGTTATGACCTCTGTCATACACCAGGTTTTCATATGGGTCTCTTTCTGAGCTTTTAAACTCTATTCCATTAGTCTTTTGATTGTATGCAGCTGTTTTTCTTATTGTGATTTTCTACTATGCCTTAATTTTTTTATCATGCCTTTTAGTTGGATGGTCATTATCCTGGGTTTTCTATGTGGATTATCAGGTCACCTTCAAATGATGAACACTCTCTCTTCTCTTTCAATTCTTTTAACCTATTCTTGTCTTATATTAGCCAGCATGTCACGTAGTATATTGAACAGTAGCTATGGTGGTAGAATTTTTATCTTATTGGCCTTAAAAAGAAATACATCAAAAGTTTCTCCATTAATTATGATGTTTGCTATAGGGCATTTGTAGATAGCCTTCAAAAAGTTAAGAAAGTTATTTTCTTTCTAGCCTTCAAGAATTTAAAAAGTTTTTTAAAATCTTAATTGAATGTGAACCTTATCAAATGCCTTTCTTGTGTCTATTGAGATAATCATGTATTTTATTCTTTAATACATTCCTGTGGTGAAATATGTTAATAGGCTTTCTGCTATTAAGTTATCTTTGCATTTCTAGAATAAACTCTAATAAGTATTATTAGGGTTATTATTTTTTTCAAACACCTGATTGGATTCTGTTAGCTGATATTTTATGGCGTGGATTTCCTTCTATGTTTGTTAGTGAAATTGGCCTATAATTTTCTTTGCTGTCCTCATCTGATAGTTTTAAAGGCTGTACCAAACTGAAAAATGAATTGGGCAGTTTTCACAATTTTTCTAAGTTTGGCTGTATTTATATAACATAGAGATGTTCTGTTTCAGTTCAGCGGGACACCCTGTAAAATTATTGGGCAACATTATTTAACTTTTTCCTGGTTATTGATTCAAGTTTCCTATTTCATGTTATGTTAATTTTATTGGTAATATAATTTCCCGTTCTATTTATTATAAGTTTTCAAAAATATTTGGCTATAGGTGTTTTATAATAAAATTACTTTGAAAGTCTTTATTATAGCTATAATTTGTTCCCTTAGTTAAGTATATTTTATTTATTTGCATTTTATTATTTTGTTGAACTGTTATTTCCTGAAGTTATCAGCAGTAGTCTTTTTAAAGACGAAGCTTCTGATAATATTAACCTTTTTTTTTTCTATACCATTCTATTATTTTTTGTTGGGTTCTACCTTTTATTATTTTCTTAATTTGTATTTCTTTGGGTATACTCTGTCAGTCTCTTGCTTATGTTTTCAGTTGTGCTTAGTTATTTTTCAGCTTTTCCTATTTTCTGATACATGTATTGAGAGCCATTAATTTCCCTGCAACAAACTTGTCCTAATGAGCTCATACAGGGAATACTGTCTCCACCAAGTTCAGGATCAACCTTCTTTTCGGGCACATGATAAAGAATTACAACAAATATTAGAAAATTGGAATCATTCAGAGGATGTTATGAGAACAATGCAGTTAAGCTATGGCTCAGTAATTAAAGAGTAACTTGAAAAATTTTTTATGGTTTCAAATAATTCAGGTCACAAAACAATTTAAATAGAAATTAGATAACATTTAAAACTGAAGGCTTGTGGAAACACTACAGATAAAGCTTTTAGGATGCAGCTAAACAGTACTTCGAGGGAAAATTATAACTATAAATTCTATATTAGGAAGGAATAAAAGTGAAAAGAATGTCAAAGTCATGAGCAAAAATTAATGAAATAGAAAATGAATATTCAGTAGAGAATATTCAGTAGAGAATAGCAAATAAGCTAAAAGAAATAATAAACTTTTGGCAAGATGGCTCAAGGAAAAACAAGACATATAACTAATATCAGGAATAAAAAAGACTCAAGTGCTGCAAACAGGGAAAAGATAAGAAAATAATGTGAAGAACACATAACATCAGGCTACAGTATGACAACCATCATCAACAAAAAGGACGTCCACTCAGAGACCCAAGTCAACAACTACAAAGACCACAGGTAAATAAATCCACAAAGATGGGAAGAAACCAGTGCAAAAAGGATGAAAACGCCCGAAACCAGAACACCTCTCCTCCTCCAAGGGATCACAACTCTTCACCAGTGAGGGAATAAGGCTGGATGGTGAATGAGTCTGATGAATTGACAGAAACAGGCGTCAGAAGGTGGCTAATAAGAAACTTCTCTGAGCTAAAAGAACGTGTTCTAACCCAATGCAAAGAAACTAAGAACCTTGAAAAAAGGTTTGATGAGATGCTAACGAGAATAAACAGTGAGGAATATAAATGAATTGATGGAGCTGAAAAACACAACATGGCAACTTCATGAAGCATACACAAGTTTCAATAGCCAAATTGACCAAGCAGAAGAAAGGATATCAGGTCGAAGATAAACTCAATGAAATAAAATGAGAAGGCAAGATTAGGGAAAAGGGGGTAAAAAGAAATGAACAAAGTCTCCAAGAAATATGGGACTATGTGAAAAGACCTAATCTACATTTGATAGGCATATCTGAATGTGACAGAGAGAATGAATCCAAGCTGGAAAATACTTTTCAGGATATTATCCAGGAAAACTTCCCCAACCTAGCAAGGCAGGACAATATTCAAGTCAGGGAAAGACAGAGACCACCACAAAGATATTCCTCAAGAAGAGTAACCCCAAGGCACATAATCGTCAGATTCACCAGGGTTGAAATGAAGGAGAAAGTGCTAAGGTCAGCCAGAGAGAAAGGTCGGGTTATCCGCAAAGGGAAGTCCATCAGACTCACAGTGGATCTCTCAGCAGAAACCCTACAAGCCAGAAGAGAGTGGGGGCCAATATTCAACATCCTTAAAGAAAAGAATTTTCAATCCAGAATTTCATATCCAGCCAAACTAAGCTTCATAAATGAAGGAAAAATAAAATCCTTTGTCAACAAGCAAGTACTCAGAGATGTCATCACCACCAGGCCTGCTTTACAAGAGCTCCTGAAAGAAGCACTAAACATAGAAAGGAACAACCAGTACCAGCCACTCCAAAAACATACCAAGTGGTAAAGACCATCAACACAATGAAGAAACTGCATCAACTAACAGGCAAAACAGCCTATCAGCATCAAAATGGCAGGGTCAAATTCACACTTAAAAATATTAATCCTAAATGTAAATGGGCTAAATGCCCCAATCAAAAGACACAGACTGGCAAATTAGATACAAAGCCAAAACCCATCGGTGTGCTGTATCCAGGAAACCCATTTCACATGCAAGGTTACACAAAGGCTCAAAATAAAGGGATGAAGGAAGATTTACCAAGAAAATGGACAGCAAAAACAAGCAGGAGTCGCAATCATAGTCTCTGATAAAATAGACTTTAAACCAACAAAGATCAAAAGGGACAAAGAAGGACATTACATAATGATAAAGGATCAATGCAACAAGAAGAGCTAATGATCCTAAATATGTATGCACCCAATACAGGAGCACCCAGATACATAAAGCAAGTTCTTAATGACCTACAAAGAGACTTAGACTCCCACACAATAATAGTGGGAGACTTTAACACTCCACTGTAAATATTAGATCAACAAGAGAGAAAATTAACAAGGATATCCAGGACTTGAACTCAGACCTGGACCAAGCAAACCTAATAGACGTTTACAGAACTCTCTACCCCAAATCCACAGAATATACATTCTTCTCAGCACCACATCACACAGTGTTTATTATTTAAAAAAAAAAAAAAAAAAAAGATGGCTTGTATGAACCAGTGATCAGTGATTGGAGTGTTACAAAGCAAGGATTTTGAGGCCTGGTGTGGTGGCTCATGCCTGTAACCCAGCACTTTGGGAGGCCAAGGCAGGCAGATCATCTGAGGTCAGGAGTTGGAGAACAGTCTGGCCAATATGGCAAAACCCCACCTCTACTAAAAATACAAAAATTAACTGGGTGTGGCGGTGCGCACCTGTAATCCCAGCTACTCTGGAGGCTGAGGTAGGAGAATCCCTTGGACCTGGGAGGCTGAGGTTGCAGTGAGCTGTGATCGAGTCACTGAATTTCAGCCTGGAAGACAGAGTGAGACTCCATCTCAAACAAACAAACAAACAGACAAACAAACAAAACCAAGGATTTTGAACTCAATAAATATTAAAACATCAAATTAACATATTAATGTTCTAAGGGAGAAACATCATATGATGATCTTAATAGATGCAGGAAATCATTTGTTAAATGTTACCATCCATTCGTGACTAAAAAAATGAAAAGCAAACAAATTAGGAATACAAGGATCAATCATCATTCTTAATGGTGCAATTTTATAGCATTCCCGAGACTGGGAACTTGTCAAGGATCCCTGCTTGCCTGCTACCAGTTTATTGGTTATCATACTGGAGCTAGCCCACATAGTTAGTAAAGAAATTAAAGATGTTAGGATTTAAGTGATAAAACTCATCCATAGATGATTGATTATCTACATGGAACATCCAAAAGAACCCCATACATATTCATGTTTGTTTGTTTGTTTTTTTTAGACAGGTTCTCGCTCTGTTGCCCAGGCTGCAACAGAGGTACAAGATGTTGCTGACAGTGGTACAAACATGGCCTCACTGCAGTCTTGATCTCTTGGGCTCAAGCGATTCTTCTGCCTCAGCCTCAGAGTACCTGGGATCACAGGTACATACCATGCTTGACAAATTGTTAAATTTTTTGTAGAGATGGGGTATCGCTGTGTTTCTCAGACTGAAAATAGTTTTTAGAAATAAGAATTTGGCAAGTTAGTTGCATATGAAAACCACAACTGACCATCCTCAATCTAAAATGATTTGACTTAGTTTTTTTACATTACAATGGGTTTATTGTGGTATTAAATGCATTTTTGACTCATGATATTTTCACATTACTTTATCAGGACAACCCCACTGTAATTCAATTGTATGTAATCCGCATACAAAAATCAGTTGCATTTCAATATACCAGCAAATATCAGTTAAAAATGAAAAATTTAAAACATACCATTTACAATAGCATACAAAAATACGACATACATAGGAATAAATTTAAAAAGCTATACACATATGTGCACATAGCATAATGGAAATGACTAATATATTCAATTGCATTAAAATGAAGAATTTCTTTTCTCCAAATCTACCATAAAAACAAATCACAAACTAGGTGAAGATAATTGCAAATCATGTAATTGACAGAAACTCATACCTAATATATAAAAAATTTCTACAAAAAAAGGACTCTAATAGACAAATGAAGAAGGAATGAGAACATGTACTTTATAAAAGAGAAACTTGAATGTCCAATAAACAGGAAAAAAGTTCACCTCATTATTAATCCGGAAATTCATATTAAACTACAACAAGAAACTCTTGTATTCCCACCAGATTGGCAATTATAAAGTGTGATCATACCAGGGGTTAAGAATGTAAGTCTTAAGCACTTACTGGTGAAAATGTAAATTGGTTCAACTGCTTTTGAGACTCTCGTGACATTACTTAAGTAACTTTAAATGTGTGATCATCTAAGATCCAGTGGTTCTACTTCTAGATATTTAAAGTAGAGAAGGTCTTACACATATACACAAGAAGACAAGTATGACTATATTCATAACAGCCCTAAAATAAAAATTACCCCAGAATTTATCATCAGTGGAATTCATAATTAGTTGTGTTTATATAATATTGCAATAAAAAGATCTATAGCTACATGCAGCAACATGGATGAATTTCACAATTGAGCAAATAAGCAGGCCACAGAAGAATACATACTCTATGATTTCATTTAGATAAAATTAAAAGACTAGACAAAGGTAAGCAATGTATTTTTAGAGTATACCTAAATGGAATGATTATGAAGTAAGGGTATCACAGTCAGGATAGTGGCTTACCTTGGTGAGGGAGGAAGGGTATGTGATTGGAAGAGGGCTACACAGGAAGTTTCTAAGTTTTGGCAATATTTTCTTCACACTAAAAATGTGTTTACCCATGTGTTTGCTTTATTATCTTTATTCTTTTAAAAAAATTTATTTAATTTTATTTCTTTTATTGTAGTTTAGGTCCTGGGGTACATGTGCAGATCATGCAGGATTGTTGCATAGGTACATACATGGCAAGGTGGTTTGTTGCCTTCATCCCCTCATCATCTATATCTGGCATTTCTCCCCTCGTTATCCCTCCCTACCCTCTCCATCCCCTGCTGTCCCTCCCCTAGCTCCCTGACAACTGACCCCACTGTGTGATGCTCCCTTCCCTATGTCTATGTGTTCTCATTGTTCAACACCCACCTATGAGTGAGAACATGCGGTGTTTGATTTTCTGTTCTTCTGTCAGTTTTATCTTTATTCTTTAAAATATGTATATGTTTTATTTCCGTAGGTATTTATTTTACAATAAAAATACAGTTATGTAGTCCCAGCTACTTGGGAAGCTGAGTCAGGAGGATCATTTGAATGCTGGAATTCAAGACCAGCCTGGGCAATATAGCAAGACCCTGTCTCTAAAAAATAAATAAACAAATAATAAATTTAAAAGTTTCATTGTGATGATGTATAAAGAACTTAACAACTGCATGGCACATAGAAAATACTCAATAAATGTTTATTATTTATTGTTATTATGAATGTCAAATGTATATCTAGTTATAGCTGCAGTCCAAAAATTTTTCAGGTACTGCTTTTATTTAGCTTGAAGTCTTTAACAAATTTCCCTCATGCTTTAAAACAAGTATTATTTAGTAGACTATTTTAGTTTCAGGCATATAGGATTGTTCAATCAATCTCTCTCTTTGTTTTATAATAGTGCTGCATTAGATTCAGAAGTCTGTAGGAAGGTAATTTTTCTGACAGTTATTGAATAAATTTATTTGTAGCTTGAAAAAAGAAAATGTACTTAGATGAATAAAAAATACCTTTGTTGAAATTCCTGCAGTGAATATAATTTTGGTATCGCAACTTGGTAACTTTCTACTCTTCCTTTCTCTATTACAGCCTTGATTTTAATATCTCTTTTTTTGATAACCCAAGCCTTCTTAGTACTGTAACCATAATGGTATTACAGAATAGACTATGATTTTGTGTTTATATGTTTTGTTTAGTATTAATTTATACCATCACCAGCAGTGTAAGAGAGTGCCCATTTCCTTGTCGCCTGGTGAGCAACATTGGATAATATTTAAAAATAATTTTTTGCATTTGATATATTTGTTTTTTCTGTTGTATTTATTCCTTTACTTGTTAGTAAACTTTAACTTCATATATACATATATTTGTAGTCCAATTTTCATTCAATGTGAATTATTTATGTCCTTTACCAATTTTCTTCTTTTTAATGCTGTTATTTCTTTTTATTAAGTCTAATTTAAAGCCATTGCATGGACTTGAAAATATGTTTTTAGGTCCATGCAATGACTTTAAATTACAGTTGAAAATAAAAGCATATTTTACAAATGACTTGTAAATAAAATAAAAGCATATTTTACAAATGACTTTTAAATGTCTCTCAGTAATATTTTATAGTTTTGAAAGTCCCTACAAAACAAAAAACAAGGCAAATCTCATTTTGACGAGACAGCACTTGGTTCACATTATTTTTTCTTTTTTGGTCTACATTATTTAATTGCAATTAAAACAAATAATTATAAATGTAAGCCTAATTACAACAATCCAAAAGTATATATAAATCCTTGAAACTTCAAGAGATGAATTTGTCTGGTCACTCTCTGGCCTGTTGTTTTTAGTTTATTCCCTCCAACCTGACCAGAGTATGAAAAAAAATCACAGTACTTACAAAAAAAAAAAAAAAAGTAAATTTTTATGTGCATGCTCTACCTCACTTGACTGGGACAACTTTACTCTTTCCATATTCTTGGACCATTCAAATTCAGAGGCGTCTTCTGTCTCCAGAATGATACTGCATGGAGTATCTCTTTATTTAAGCACCTTGCTGGCTAAGCACATCTTACCACATTAGGGACTTGTGATGCCTCTCTAAAGCTTACCCATTCTTTTTTTTTTTCTTCTTTTTTTTAAAATTATACTTTAAGTTCTGGGGTACATGTGCAGATCGTGCAGAATTGTTACATAGGTATATCTATTGTAAGAGTAGTGTTTTTGGGTTTTTTTCAAAAATGAATTTGTAAAACCAGTTTATATATTTAGGATGGTGTCATTCCTTATTGCAGTTTTCTTCTTCCAAGTTTGGAGTTTGCTTTAACATTTCAGCTTGTTCTTTTTCACCTATCGTCTTTTTTTCCTCTTCTTCAGGAGCAAATATTCCCCGCCTTTTCTTCTTATTTCATGTAGAGCAGTGTAGTCTTCTTTTACTGCAGGGGGAAGATGGTCCTTTGGCTGTGATGATGTGGCCCCGATTGCAGAATTGAGTTGGAGGCTGAAGATGTGAGCTCTGATCCTTACCAGTTCTGTAAGTCAACAAATAATGTATCTATTTAGACAGCTTCCAGAAAATAGATAGCTGTGAAATATAATCTTCCTTAGGATACAGTAGTGATCCTAAATTTAAGTATGTCAAGCATTTATAACCTTCTGACTCCTTGCAAAATTTTATCTCAAGTGACTTCAATACACTGTGCATACTTTATCAGGCCGTCCAAAGGAAAACATCTATCTATGGTGAAAGCCTAACACTGACGTTTGTCAAAGGTCAGAGATTCAGAGATTTAACTTGTTAATAAATCTATAAGCTGTTAGTATTTTTATATTGTGGTGGTAAAAAAATTTGCAGGATTTTTAAAAACATGTTTTAGTTCCTATCAAAAGTTTCTAAGTACATTGTTTTTCTAGTAAAATCCAGTTTGTTCCACATTTTTGACTGAGAAAAGCAAAATCTTTTCTTTTGGAGAAGAAAGGTCAGTTTTTAAGGAGATCTAGTCCTAAAAATATCAAGAATAGAGGCCTAGGAAATATAAGCCTCCACAGACTTCCCCACATTCCCCAAACTACTTAAGATGATCCCCAAATAGGACCAACCCTAAATGAGCCCTGGAAATAGGGAAGAGGGCTATCTGTATGCCTCAGTACTAGGGACCATCTAATTGCTGTCACATAGATGATTGACATCACCTTAAAACACTGATTGCTGTGGCAAAAACACTCCCCTGTTTTAATTGTCCTTCTAAAGCAGGGGTGTCTAATCTTTTGGCTTTCCTGGGTCACATTGAAAGAAGAAGAATTGTCTTGGACCAGATATAAAATACACTAACACTAATGATAGCAAATGAGCTTAAAAAAAAAAAAAAAAAACCATAATGTTTTAAGAAAGTTTACGAGTTTGTGTTGGGTCACATTCAAAGGCATCTTGGGTCACATGTGGCCCAGGGCCATGGATTGGACAAGCTTGTTCTAAAGAATGTTGGAGGTATGTGTTAGCCTGTGCAGGCCGTTATAACAAAATATCATGGACTGGGTGACTTATAAACAACAAAATTTATTTCTCGTAGTTCTAGAGGCTGGGAAGTTCAAGAGCAAGGCGCTGTCAGATTTGGTGTCTGATGCAGGCCCACTTCTTGCTGTGTCCTCACATAGTGGAAGGAAGAACTAGCTCTCTGTGGTCTCTTATAAAAGCACTCATCCCCGTCTTGAAGGTTCTACCTAAAGGCAGGCAACTGTTTCAAATGAAGCAAGTGAAGACTTTTCTTGTCTTCTCACAGCAGACCTATGGGTTCATGATGTCATCCTATCGTAACAGGCTTTCCTTGTTTGGGAAATGAAGGAGGAGTTTTGTTTTAAATATGTGTTTCTAATAAAAATGCAAGTACAGTCTTTAAAGAGGTTTTTGAGCAAGTGATTTTCAAGTGCAATTTTTTTATCCTACAGAGTTGAACATCTGGGAAAGAGGCACATAGGCATTGCTATAACTGAAGAATCACAGGCAACAATGATGATCTGCTAATTTCATCTCTTTCTCTGAGAAAAGAAATATCAGATGATGAAGGTTTTCAGGATTTTTCTGAGAGTCTCCCCAAATACCACTTTCCCCAAGTCAGTCTTGGATTAGTGACTAAATCAGATTAGATTAGATAAAGCATATCCAGTTTTCTAGCCTCCTTGCTGAGAAAATTGGTTTTGATTTTCTCAACATTTCCTTTTTGAGAATAAGTTTTTTGCCTCATCTTTGCACTACCAAGGAGCATTTTTGCCACAACAATCAGTGTGTTAAGGTGATTTCAATCATCTATTTCTAGAGAAGAGTACAAACTACATATAGTTTTAAAATAACAAATTTCCTTACTTCTAGTCCTCAAGGTTTCCAAAAACTTGGAATTTACTTTTAGCTAGGGTACTCCATTGTAATGGATAAAACATTGTGATACACTGTGAATTTTTAAAAAAACAAATTAAGAAACAGAAAAATATCTCAATTTTTAAGAATAATATATACAAACACAGAGGTTATAAAACTGAATGAAAAACTTCATTACAGACTATGATTTGGTTTATAAAGTTATGTTTTGTATTAGGTATACATTTACTTATTGAATTGTTTCATTGGAAGAAATTGTTAGAAATTGTTCAGTTTTGTCTTTATGAAAAGCATTCTTGAAATTAGACCTCAATTTTTTGGAATCCTTGAAAACTAGAATTGACAAAATTGCCATTTAAAAACTCTAAAGCAAGGCTACCTGGTTTTCAATTTCAGTTCTGCTACAAATTAATTCTGTGACCTTGGATGAGTAAATAACTTTTTCATGGCTCAGTTTCTTTACCTCTAAAATGGGAATAGCTCAGAGGCTGACAAAATATGCTGATGACTTAACTGTGTGTTTGAAATGGTTGGGATGGAAGAGAAGGCTGGGGTGGAAAGGAGGGGCAGGAAAGATAGGGGTGAGAAAGAGAGAGAGTTAACGATATAGTCAAGGTTTCCAGTAAATTAAAGTGTACTTTATGAAGTAGAGAAAAACAAAGGAAGATGAGGAGGTCTGGGAAGGAATATGAACTTGCTTTTACACAGTTAATTTTCAGTTGTCTAGTAGCCGCCCTAAGGAGAGATGTAGTAGGTAGTTGGACATACAAGTTTGAATTTCAGGAGAAAGGTGGGACCTGGAGGTAAATATCTGGGGGCCATCCTTATATGAATGGCATTTGACATCATGAGTGAGAATGGATGAGGTCAACAAGGGAGTAATTGTAGTTAGAGAAGAGATCCAAAGACTGAGCCCCAGGGCACTCTGACATTTAGATGTCAGGCATTTAGATGTCAGAGAGAGTAGAGACTGGCAAGCAAATGGAAAAGGATCAGCCCATAAGGTAGGAGGAAACCAGGGGAGGGTGGTGTTTAGAAGTCAGTCTTTCTTGATTAATTGAATTAAATGCTGTTGTCAAGTATATCAAGTAAGACTTACAGCTATCACTGGATTTAGCCATTCAGCAGTGATTGATGACTTTGATTAGAGCAGTTCTGGTGGAGGGATGCGGACAAAAGCCCGATTGAAATGATTTCAAAAGAGAATGGAAGGAGCAAAATAGGAGCAGCAAGTATAGACATTAAAAAAAAAAAAAAAAAAAAAAAAGCTTTGGCTGGGGTCGGTGGTTCCTGCTTGTAATCCCAGCACTTTGCAAGGCTGAGGTGGGCAGATCATGAGGTCGAGAGTTGGAGACCAGCCTGACCAACATGGTGAAACCTCATCTCTGCTAAAAATACAAAAATTAGCTGGGTGTGATGGCGCATACATGTAATCCCAACTACTCAGGAGGCTGAGGCAGAAGAATCGCTTGAACCTGGGAGGCAGAGGTTGCAGTGAGGACCATCAATAGTAACAGCTTTTAAAATATTGATAAAACGATATACACATTTAAGCAAAACCTGACTTGAAGTTGTATACATATCTCTCCATAATGCTACAAATTAGTTCCATGTAAACATGTACACTTGAATTCACTCTTCAGGAGACCCATTGCAACATTTTTTCCTCTTCTGTTCCTCTCTCCACAAATATATCCTCTTTTTTCCAGTTATAAAATTAAGGCTTTTAAGAAATTGAATCAAAGCATGATAATTGTACTAGTCAATTTTCACATTGCTATACAGAATACCTGAGACTGGGTAATTTGTAAAGGAAAGAGGTTTAATTAACTCACAGTTCCTCATGGCTGGGTTAGCCCTCAGGAAACTTACAGTCATGGTGGAAGGTAAAAGGGAAGCAAGCATCTTTTTCACAAGGCAGCAGGAGAGAGAGTGAAAATAAAAGGGGAAAAACCTCTTATAAAACCATCAGATCTCTTGAGAACTCACTATCACGAGAACAGCATGGAGGAAACCGCCCCATGATCCAGTCACCTCCTAGCAGGTTCCTCCCCCAACACCTAGGGATAACAATTTGAGATGAGATTTGGGTGGGGACACAAAACTAAACCATATCAATAGTGTGTATATGGAAGTAAGGAGTACTGTGGGGAGAAGGAGCTGGTTGTGGAAGAGGTAATTGCTTGTAACCAAAAGAAGCCCCCTAAAGCTATTAAATTATATTATTCAACATAAATCTACCATATGACTCTATCATTCTACTTCCAGGACAAAGACTTGCACATAAGGGTTTATCATAGCTTTATGTAATAGCCCTAAACTAGAAACAATCAAAATGTCCTTCCACATGTGACTAGATAAATATATTGTGGTATATTTATACAATGGAGTACTATTCAGCAATGAAAAGGAATAGACTTAGATGTGGATTCCAAAAAGTCAAACTCATAGAAGCAGAGGGTAGAATGATGGTTGCCAAGGACTTGGGGCAAAACAAATGGGGAGATGTTGGTGAAAGGGTAGAGATCTGCCGTACAGATGGTGACTATAGTTAAAAATGTTTTGTATACTTGAAAATTGTTAAATATTAGATATGTTAACAATGTCCTTACTAAAAAAAAGTATATGAGGTGATGGCTATGTTAATCAGCTTAATTTAATCATTTGACAATGCATATTTATATTAAAACATTACATGTACACTGTAAATATGTACAATTTAAATTTGTCAGTTATACCTTAATAAAATGGCAGGGGTACAAAGAAAGACACCATCCTCCACAGGAAAAGGAAAGAGTACTTAACAGTAAACCTGAAATGATGAAATTCTGTGGGAGGAAAAGTGTATGAATAGTATAATAAAGATATTGCAAGAAAAAGAAAAAGGAATGGACTACAGACATGTGTAGCAACATGGGTGAAACTTCAAATACTTATGCTGAGTGAATAAACCCAGATCAGGAGTAAATACTCTAGGATTCTATTTATATAAAATTCTAGAACATGAAAATATTGGTTTACCTTTGTTATCTACTTATATGTAAAAGGAAAAGAACCCCTTTCTTCTTCTTAGAGCATGGTAAGTTGTTTTGGCTAAAATGGACAAAGTTCTTGATAAGTATTGCTTTGCTTTTGGTGATGAGAGTGATCTTAACAAGGGA